ATTAATAATTGTAAACAATTAATAAACGAAATCTTTCGTCGAAGTCTGTCGTCATGAACGTTTTCATTAATTGCATTGACTGCATTTCTAGCCAGGGATAGCGATATTGTACGATTTTATTGATTTTCTACTTACATTACGTAATCGAGTTTTTCCGTCGAAAGGATTTTCCTGGCTCGGTTTGTTGCGGGGGCAGCATGCGGTGCAGCATCTGTCGTTGTTCCCATGTTCGTTTCTGAGATTGCCGAGCAGAGCATTAGAGGCTTGCCTGGCATCATTTTTCAATTGCAGATTACCGCCGGAATTCTCTTCGCATATTCTACTGGTAAAGAAGCACTTTCTTAAATATAACATTGGATAATTTTATGACATGTGCCATGTCTCTTTGATACTCTACAATCCTTTCCAACATTTTGTAACACAGTGTACAATTCCGTGCTTTTCAACTAACACAAACGTACGCAACTAAAATGCTGTGTTGGACTGTGTCGTTCTTTTATGTTACTTTATGAATACGAAATTTTTACATTTTATTACCATTTATTTTCCTAGAAATGATACTCTGATAAGAGGTTTTAAGATTATATTCGGATATATTCGGACGTAGATGTACGAAACCTTTTCTTTATTTCATTCTGGTGATGAAATAAAAAAGCTAAGCAACATTTCAGTTATAAGTTGACATTATGTATTATTGTGTTTCGTTGCTGGAAAGCATCTAAAATCTACAATTAAAATCAGAGACACATTGATTAAAATGTATATTGTATTCTCTAATGTATATTGTATCCTATTATATCAATGATTGGTTGACAAAACTGATAAAATAATTAACATTAATAATTAAAAAAGCTTTATAAAAAATTATTTAATTGAATATTCGCTTTTTTCAATTTTAATTTGCTACAATATGCAAACGTAGCTCTTCATTTAAACGTCTAATGTCAGATATCTAATGACACAGAGAGTTAAAGGAAGGTGTCATTATAAAAAAACTTGGCGTCACATTATACAAAACTTGTGTTTGTAATGATAGATGAACTTCAAGTCGTGATAATTCTAGCTGTTACACACTATTGTATAACTTTCCTGAAATGATAAGCGGTGACGTTTGCAGCTTTTACCGCTAACTTGCATGTCATCGCGATACTTTGTTCCGTGGCGCCCGCTTTGCTTTTGATCTTCTTCCCATTCGTACCGGAATCACCTGCATGGTTGGTTATGCAGTATCGGAAGAACGAGGCAAATATTGTGCTAAAACACTTCAGAGGAATTCATTATAGCACCGAGGCGGAATTGGTCAGACTCGAGCTTCAGGCCTCAGAAATGCCAGAAGTCAAACCCAATATTTCGGACTTGAAGAATTATCAAACAGCGACTTGCATTATATTCGGTAAATTTTATCTCTGAAATTCTATAATATGCATGACGTAAAGTATAGTATGTTAGCGCGCTAACATTGTAAGTGCGTTCTAAATATGGGCCATAGTTTAATTATTAATTAGTTGAATTAAATCGATTACTGAATGTTTTCATTGCAGTAATTAATTATTCTATTAATTTTATTAACTTTATCTAACTTTGTTTAGGTATGTTACACAAACATATATCATGTCAGTGATATTAGCTTTAACTCAATGTGTAATGATTTCAGGTCTAATGTTTTTCCAACAACTCTCCGGTGTTAACATTCTGATATTTTACGCAAAAAAGATCTTCGACGATACGGGCTCGATTCTGAGCTCACCTACGTCATCAGTAATTGTGGGTGTCGTACAAGTGATTGCTACCTATTTTTCGACCGTTTTAATTGAGCGCGTCGGCAGAAAGCTATTATTATTCATCAGTGCGTCAGTGATGGCAGTTTGTATGTTCACAATGTCAGGGTATTTTCATTTCCAGGTAACAAGCTATTAATTAATTCAATATCAATACAAATTTTAATTACAAATTTGTAACTCTAAATATTTCATTAAAAATATTAATGATCATCAATAGTAATTTTTAATCGTATACCGGTTTGCGATTTCATATTTCTACATTGAAATTTCTTAATTAGATTGATTTGTGAGCTTTTCTCTCGGTTGTTTCAGAGTTCTCACGATCTCTCGAACTTCTCTTGGATCCCTCTGCTCTCGTTTGCAGTATTCATCGTAATTTTCAGTATCGGCTTTGGTCCCGTACCATGGTTGATGGTCGGGGAATTGTTCGCAAACAACATGAAGAGCGTGGCAAACACTGCCGCGATGTGCAACTGGACGTTGGCCTTTCTCGTGACAAAATGCTTTCAGGACATGGTGAATCTCATGGGAATCTCCTCGTCATTCGCTACATTCGGCATGATAAGTTTAATCGGAACTATATTTGTCTCCGTGATGGTGCCGGAAACGAAGGGCAGAAGCTTCGAGGAGATTCAGATCGAGTTGTACGGGACGCAAATTAGGATCCCGTCGGAGGACCCAGCAACGAGGGAAACATGATAAAATAATCACTGAATCGAAATGCTCAATTGTAGAAATATGGTTGTAACTCGTTTGTATGTCATGAATATTTTATAAGTCACCTGTGCAGTAGTGCGTAATTATAATAACTTAATTACTTCTAGACGTGATTTTAAAATCTAGAAAGGAATACGGGGAGGAGGGGTAGGTCGTACCTCCTGATAATCATACATAACTACAGAAAATACTCTTAACTGGAGCGATGTATACAAACAATCTATTATTTTTTAGATAGCTAGATATATCTAAAAAGTTATACGATATTATAAAACAGAGAATTCTGATATCCTTTCTTTTTTTTTTTATTTTTAGTAGTATTTATTATAATTAGTATCTATTTATTATTATTTATTTATTATTATTAGTAATATTTATATATTATTATAATATATTGATTTAATACGTACCATAAAACGAGTTGTGCCGCGCCGTTGAATTTCCAAGCGTGTGTAATGCAAATTGTGGAAGACCACGGATTTGTTTATACTCATATATTTATTTCCATTCGTGATACTTTTTTTACTTATTTATACGATATCACATAATACATGAATCACGCAATTTTTTTTCTTTAAATCGATCGGTCGTCTCGCCGCCCCTGTTGAATTACAGTTGCTCAAAGCTATGACAGCGATCAGAAGGGAGAATAAATCGGAAGATTCCGTGAGGACGAGACGTCGAATTTTTCTTAAGACGTGGCGTTGCCCAGCACAATATCGCGACATTGCTCCATTGTACAAAGTAATACATGTGCATTTTGCATGCGCGGCGACGACGACGTGGTGCAAATGTTTGCCGTACAATTGATACACGCAGGATAGAAAGAAACGTATAGCTCAATGGCAGCGAAGAGTTGCGATCTTATTTCAGATGCATTCCGGAGAATCGCTTGAATGAATAAAAGAAGAAAGATGGAGGAGAATGGAGGGAGAGAAGAAACGCCGATTTATGCGAACGTGCACGTGAGAATATCGGTTCATATAGAAGATATAACGACATACTTAGCGTGTTGTTGCGCACACATAGATATCGATATGTACACAGGAGGTCTGCGTCACTCGTTATGTCTGTCGTTGTGCCTGTCAGACGCTTGTTCCCGATCGGACGCGAGCCGATTGTCCAACTTCTACTTTTTTCCTCGGCTTGAGAATTATTTCGCGATGATTCTCAAGTTCTCAATGCGCAAATCTTCAAATAACGACGTAGGACGAATGCGTGGCGCAATACACACGCAAAACACACACACACAGACACACACACACACACACACACACACACGAAAAGGACGGTTTTACTGAAGTATCTAAAAATTTAGCTAAATACAGTTCTAAAAATAATTTTGTTGACTCATCAAAATAATTATATAAAACGCTCAAACTGGTTAGAATGTTAAATTTTTTTGCAGTATTGTTTGAGATGTCTACACAGTAAAAATATTTCGTGTTTGTGTTGGAAACGATCCGATCACTCAAGTCCTTGTTAAACTTTTGCGTTAAATTTTTTTAACATATTCCAGTATTAATTTAACACAATGTGATTATGTTATTTGAGTAATTTGCGTTAAATTGATATTCAATATTTTTCAGTATCAAAATATAACACAATTTTGTTTTAAAACGTAAATTCTAAAATGAATGAATATGTGTTAGTTTAATATATCATAAATATTTATTTTACTGGAAAAAATATGTTTCTACGGTTGTTTGTTTACAATTTGTATTATCTTTTATGTATTTATCTGCTTAAATAATATTTGCGTTACCTTCTAACATTCATTTTGTGTTAAATGAATAGATAAAATTAAGTGGACCATTTGGAATATGTGAAATGTGTTAAATTTAACATAAATTTCCCAATAGTATACGTAATTATTTTGATGGTTTAACAAAATTAGTTTGATATCTGTATCTAATTAAACTTTTAAATACTTCATCAAAATCATTCTTTCCATGCAGACGTTGCGAACGATCAGGAATTATAGGAGTCGATCGATCAATCCGATCGTCCGCACGAAACCGAGGTAGGTTTCGGACTG